GTACACCGACCTGGATGTCGTTGTCCAGGAATCGCGTGCGACGAAGCAGGCAGCTCAAGACGCGGAGAGAGCTGTGGCTCAGGAGCAACCGCTTTCTGAACCTGCTGCCGGGGACGACCAAGCGTTATCTAGTGTGTTAAGTCTGGAAGGACCACTCTTAGACTCTGGAACAACCCGCGTCGAAGGCGAGCCGGCTCGGGATGAGTCGGCTCAGGCGTCTGTGGGAGGCGCGGTGTGGTTGAGCCCCGGGTTGAAGAGGAGACTCCGAAACCGGTCAAGATGTGGGTGTAGAGCCGCTCGAGGAGAAGGCACCACCTGTAATGAAGGCAGAGCGGAAGGTTTAGGACCTGGCGGCCGATGACTCCGTTCTGGAGTTGGAATCGAAGAAGATCGTTCGACGAACCGTCGTGCGTGTGAAGTCGGACTCAACGTCGGTTCCCGGAGCGGCAGAACTCGGATCAGCCGCACAAGCAACCTCTGGCCCGGTTGTCCCAGCGTTCAGCCAAGCGGACGCGTTAGCGAAGGCCTACGTCGCACACCAAGTGCATCGCTGGGAGCAAGTCCTATCTGGACGAGGGTTTCCGCCACAAGTTGCATACACGTGGTCTGAAGTGCCAGACTACGCATAGTGGTTTGAGGCGACCAAGGCAGATTCTGACTTCGTGCTACAGCAAGCTTGACTGGATGATAGGGACGAAGCATGGATCTCTGAGTTACGGCCAGAACGCCGTGGTTTCGGACGCGTCCAAGACCTGGCAGTAATCCACCTTGCTCGAAGCTCGCCAGTGTGCCGCTGTGCTTCAGACTCTGTTCTTCGAAGCAGGTTTTCAGTTCAACAATGTCGTCCCGGAATGGTTCCGGACCAACGATGTGAATGTCGGTCTGGACCAGAATCGCTTCGTGACGGACACTATCCAGTGCTTGTTCACTGAGGAGTTCATCGAGTGAAAAACAACTCACGGTGAGCGTATTTTGCGAGGTGATGCCAGGTCCAGAACTGCAGTCAATGTTTCTGAAACCGGAAGCCCAAGGCGACCCGCCAATGACGGATGCGGAAGATAGCCTTCTGGGGACAGAGTTTGCGTCGCGCATCAGAGTGATAGGAGTCCGCACTGCGCGGAGCTTTGTGGCGTCATCATCAGATGGCGAGCCGGAAGTCAAGCGACCTCATAACGCTCCGTCGACCCCGATGTCCAGTGCTTTCATGCGGACATCTGACTCCTTCAATCTCCCGACACCACCATCTCGGAATTCGAGTTTGGATGCGGCCGTCGGACGCCTGAAGATTGAAGACTCTGATTCTGTGCCGAGCGTGGTGGGCCCGTCTGGACCTTCAGAGAGCAATTCACATGGGACCACGTCCGGAACCCTGGGTTCCTCTAGGGGAAGCTCTGCGTCATCGATGATGTCGATTCGTGTAGGATGTATCCGCATACGCTGGAATGAACATGGTCATGAGCGTCCAGGCCGAAGAAGTTCGAAATGTTGAGGGTAGCATGGGCATGTATTTGTCTCGCATTGTTATCCCTGAATTTTCAAAAGCGGTAGACCAGGATGATGTCGACATGGCGGAAACGGATGGCCCCTTGGCCTCAGCGTCAGGGGCGAGGTCGAGCAGAATGGAACGAGACGCGTGTCTAGACGTCACCAGCGTGACGAGTCACCAGATGACTCCGAAACGTCATGTGACAGCCGACATACGCCATCCAGTTCCAAAGCCGACACGCTGACACGGTCTTCAGCGAGTGGTTTCAGAGCGATGGGGACAAGCCGGCCAAGCCGCACATCCTCATCCAGGCGTTCGAGAGCTTCATCATCTGGATCCAGGGCTGCTCAGCTTGTCATGTACGTCCTGCACCATCCTCAAGATGGTCTCGCCCGGATGCGTACGGAGACGGACCGGAAACTTGCGACCCTCGAGGAAAAGCAGAAGTTCTTTCATGCCAGGCAGCACCAAGCCGAACTCGACGCGGGTTTGGTAGTCGATCTCCAGCTCCAAAGCGCGATCCGCGGGGTAGACTTTGGCCGGACGCCTAGCGGACATGGAGAGTCGCCAACAGCGTGCGGAGACGACGCTCCCGGAGATGGCGACGCATGTGATGGTCAATGATCAGTCACCTACACGCCTGAATACCAAACGGACTCAGGACCGCGTCGGGAAAGAGGTCGAGCAGGCCTCGCGTCAGGAGCGTGAGCAGTTTCAGGCCTAATACGAGCAGCGCTGGCTGAGGTGCATGGCGGAAGTTGATGAGGAGCCGCGCGCCGGACGGCGGAGGCGACGAAAACCATTGGTGTGCAGCAAGAGGCACTCGCAGCAGAGCGTGCGAGCCTCCAGCAACTGAAGAACACGGAAGACCACCGAAGAATCCAGGAAGCATCCGAAACACAACGCCTCCAGCAGCAGTTTCAATACCTTCGTGTAACAGTGGTAGCTCTACTCTACCCTGATGGGACAACTGATTCCCAGGAATCACGACCCTCTGACCCCGGAGCCGGTTCAAACTCCAGCAGTGATGATGGAAACAACAGCGACTCCAGCTCAAGCGGCTCGGAGGATAGCCTTGACAGTGACGACGGTTCCGGCACTGCGGCGTCTCAGACGATCAAGGATGGTACTACGGTCTGGAATTTCAGGCCGTAGATCAACTACAGTGCGGTCGAGAAGTTTAACGACACTGTGCCGAAGGAAGTTCGCGTCAATTGGTGGGAACGTTCCCCGACATGGCAGCGCAAGGTTACTGGTCTAACAAGATGAAGATTCGCCAGTTCTGGAGTTGGATGCCTGGCACGATCAGAGACTGGTACGCTCAGTTGCCCAAGTCAACACGCCATAATTGGAAACTACTGTCCACCAAGTTCAAGATGCTGTATTGTCGTACTACTGGATCCTATGCGGATCGATATTTTACTATGAAGATGAGGTTCTCAGAAACGGCGCTGCAGTTTTTCTACAGACTCAACGCGGCGGCCATGAAGGCAGAGATCCCGTTCCAAACCAGCTCTAAGCGGTGCCAATTACACGTCTGCAGGTTTATCAAGAAACTCAAGGATGTACAGCTCAAGACGGCTCTCGAATGCCATCGGTTTCAGAGTATCTCTGAAGTGGAGCGTGTACCCAGACGCCATGAAAGTGTCTGGAGGGAAGATGGTTACGAGACGCTGCCGACGAAGCCACGAGATGCCAGGGCCGACATCTTGACACCCGGAAGTCTCAAGATTCGACGGACAGGGCATGCGTTCCTCACTCAAAATGTCGATGCTGGGACCATCCCCGTCACGGAAAAACATTTCCAGTGTCAAACCTCAGGGCCCGACACACAGTCCCTGGCGGCGGGTCCAGAGACCCCGGAATATGGTCCGGACGACTATGGCCTCCAGATGGCTGAAATGGCCGACGAAACATATGAGGCATATCGCGTTTCGGAATGGTCGGAGCAACAACGCCTGGAAAACCGGAACACATTATGTCAGAAATACATGAAGTGGAGTCACCCCCCAATAAAATTGCTGGCAAGACATAGTTTGTGGGAATCGTTCTGAAACGGGACATCCGGCTCGACTGTGTCGAAAGAAGCGATATACGGACTGTGGGGACATCCACCCTTGAATCCCGTGTGCGGAATGGAGAGCGTTCAAGACTGTGAAGCATCTGGCAAGTCAGGACATGTTGAGCGACGCAGTGCCGAGCTACAGTCTGGCCCAGCTACAGACGAAGGACACAGGACAAGGGAAGCAGCAGTTAAACCACTAAGCCCGCTGGATGGAGATCCAGTACGCGACGGGCTCAAGACCCCCCAAAACTGTGTCTGCTAGTTTGTATGGGTCCAGAAAGAAGAAGAAAGACCAAAACCAAGATAACTAACAATGCATGACTCTAATTCAAAACGAGATCATCTATCCCGAGCAACTATACCCTGAATATCAGCATTCTAACAAACCGGATTCAGGGTCAAGCTTTGCTGATGACCCAATCGAAGCTGCATTAGGCCCGGGTCAGAGATATGGATAGTGGGAAGATCATAATTTAGAGGACTCGTATGAGATCGCGACTGTGTGTGGGGCGATCAATGATCGGCGAACGAGGACACTCCAAGACACGGGTGCTTCAGTTAGTATTGTGAATCTGGACCTAACGCGTAGGCTCAGTTTCGAAATCCGAACGCACTGACAGATCAAGGTGTCTGGTCTGGGAGGAATCCAGACGTATATCGCCGCGTCAAGATTACCCTTGGTTGGGAAGTGGTTTATCTTCAGGATGTCTGGATCGGAAATATTGGTGAAGGTGTGGATGTATTGTTAGGTATGAACTTCATGTATTCAGCTGGAGTTAGATTGTGCCTCCGTGAAGGATTAGTCAAGCTACCGGTCGAGGAGAATGTTGCGATGTATGACGACGTCCCGAGGAAGCGTAGAGGTTTAGAACTGGTGGGCTACGCATAAAACGTTTTTAACTACGTCCTGGTGAAGCTGCGGTAGTCAAGATTGAATATGGACAGACCAACCCGCAGCGAGAAGTGGTGTGGACCGGACGAGAAAAACGATGGGTGACTGAGATCCTGTTTGGGGTCGGTCGTGGGCTACACCAGTCCGAGTGGTCAACGTTTCGAACAGAAATGTCCGGATCGACACTCGGACTGCACTTGCTTGGATTGTGGAGTACGGGCACTTCCCGAAGGAGCGAGGATACGTTCGCGCAGGGAAGACTAGGTATAAGGAGTGGCAACGGCTTATTCTCGAGGGCACCGAATCGCGTCAGGGCCGGATGCGTGCCGAACGCCTAGAGCAGTTGATGCGACTGCGGGATACCCCACGGTGCCACGCCCAGAGTATCAGTGGCCGGCCAAACTCCTTGTGCGCCTAAAATCTCAGGATGCAGAGGTTCGAATGGTGCAGTTGCAGGAACGGCCACACGTTGGGGAGGTCTTCCTCGCTGCGCGACGTGCTCCCACCCCATAGCCAGAGCAAATGACTTAGGTGTGAAAGATCTGACAGAAGTTCCTATGACGATATTCGCCGAGGAGACTGGAGAAATGGATACCAGAGATGTTGGTACTAAAGTGATTTTCCCAAGTGCTTTCGGGTGCGGCGTTTCCGACCGGTGTGGCTGTTTTCTTGATACACCGACCAGGCCTGAAGCCCGAGTTGTAGATTCAGAGACATCAACGACTGGGGCAACTGCGGAAAGCGCAGAGGACTCAGAGCGACTCCGGAGCGTCATGGGCCGGAAGAAAATCCAGCCACCCCTTCGGGGGCAGAGAATCCAGAACATCAACCGCCGACAAGTCGGTGTATTTCGCCTCGGAAACGAACGATGATTCAGAGTTCGTTCCAGAGTTCGACTCGGAAGATGTGCTAGATGGCGTCCTCGAAAGAGCCTTGGACGGTTTCTCAGACCTTGTGGAGGACGCTTCGGACCTCTCAGACACTCCTGTCCAAAGATTGGAACAAGAATACGAACGTGTCATGCGAGTGACAGTGGAAGAGTTAGATCTGGAATCGGCCGTGTACCTGCGAGAAGGGACTGAGCTCTTGGCTCAGTTGAGCGATCACCTGACTATGTTTCCAGAGTTAGAAGAATTGAGCCCGGAATGTGACATCGACAAAGCCGACGTCGACGTCCCAGGTGTCACGACCCCAGAGATGGAGGACAAGATGCGGAAGATCTTGAGTTATCATCGTTGTATTTTTGGGTGATGGCAATGCAGCACCGGCCCCAGCTCGCGAAGTCGTTTGTGACTTCGACGTGGGTGACGCAATGCCGATAGCACTGTGTGCTCGGCAGATCGTCTCCAGGTATCTGGTGAATGTTTAAGAACTTCTCAAGAAGTCCCTAGAGACAGGGTCATTGAGCATTCTGAATCGGAGTGGTCATCTCTGATAGTGATCGTTTTGAAGAAGAATGGGGAGGACATCAGAATGTGTGTTGATTATAGACTGGTTAACCAGTTGATCAAGCTATCACGATACCCCCTACCTTTGATTGACGACTTGCGGACTGATTTTAATGCCGCGGCACCGTTCATGAGTCTGGATATGGCGAGCGGTTTCTGGGCGATTCGCATGACAGAGCGGGCGAAGTTGATTTCAGGCTTTATCTGCCATTTGGGCACTTCCAGTGGATCCGGATGCCATTTGGACACAAGAACGCGCCGTTAGTGTATCAGAATGTGATTAATAGTTGTCTCTGGGGATTCGTGCGGCTCCGACCCGAGGAAGAAGTCAAGGTCGATCGAGATGTCCTATAATTTCTGAAGCTGCATGTCCTAGACACAGGACCGACGATCGAGAACTCTCGTGGGGAAGGTAGTTTCAGACTTCCGGAGCTGGCGAAGGAGGCGACTGTATTTAGGCGAAACATTCCGACACCGGCACAGATGGGACTGGTCCTGAGCCGAAGCTCTTACATAGATGACGGAGCTCATCGGGCGTCTACCTGGGATCAACTCTGTGAAGACCTGAACGCTCTGCTGTTCCGACTCCGATATTGGAATACCTCGGTCAGTCTCCCGAAAAGCGAGTTCGGTAAGCAAGCTATGCCGTAACTGTCCCACGAAGTCTGTACCGAAGCCATTAGGGCTATCCCGAAGATTACCAAGAGCGTTCAAGCCCTACCGTTCCCATCCACTCTGAACGGCGTTCAATCATTCTTAGGAAGTCTGAATTACTACAACAAGTTTATCGAGAATTTACCTGTTGATGCGGCTGTGCTTTACGAGCTGGATGAGGACCGCATTCGCGCCGGAGACGATTTGGATAGAGCCAAGGAAGCGTTCAAGATTCTGAAACGTAATATTTCGTCGACTAGGTTGCTACGCCATCCCGATTGTACCAAGCCGTTTGCCATCATTCCACATGCGAATCCCTGGGCATCCAGTACTGTCCTGGAGCAGGAACATGATGGGATCATCCAACCAGTGCGCTTTACGGGCGAGTTCTGAACGAGTCCGAAATCAAATACCATATCGCAGAGAAGGGGGTGTTAGCAATCCTGTGAGTTCTGGAGTAGTTCCGCCCACTCATCTATGGTTCAGGAATACCGATTGTGATCTATACTCGGTACTCGGTTCTGAAGTGGTTATTGAAGTCAAATTCCGCCGATGGCCGTAACCTTAAGTGGGGTCTAGAATTGTCGAAGTGGACTCTGGAACTACGCCGTGTGCAGCGCGATGAAGATGGATTAGCTGCCATCCTCGGTGCAGGTATTACCCCCCCCCCGGGAGCATTTAGTAGAAGTCGCTGAAAACCTGATCCCGGTTAAGTGGCAAATCAAAGCACGTAGCCCAATCAGTGTAGAGATGCTGGATTCAGACTTCGAAGAATATGTTCTGAGTTTTGATGGTGCGGCCAAGGTCTCGACCAGACAGAGATTGTTTCGATAGATTTTGTGATACCCTTACCGTAGTCTCGGCGGGGTAACACAGCGCTCATACTGTTCCAATGCGCATTTACGGGGTATGTGATGGGGAAAGCCATGGCAGACACGACTGCTCTGAGAGTGGCCCGGGCTTTTGAGGAGTGTGTGTACCGGAGATTCAGTGCACCCTCTCTCATCAGGCATGACAAATACTCACGATTTGTTCACTGAAATGATGCAATTGAGGTCTAGGGCTACGTTGAGTTACCGGCCCCAAGCCAACAGCCAACAAGAGCCCTCGGTCAAGACCGTCAAGCAATCAGTGTGTGTACGCGGATGACCCACTGGAACAGGACTGGGACAAGATCGCCGAAAAGCTGATCTTCGTGAACAACAACTCGATGGATACAAAGAGGAAAGAGAAACCTTTTTTCTTCGCCCATGGGTGGGATGCTCAGTCTACGCTTAAGGCGATGTCCTCGTCCCTCAAACGAGGACACGGGCGACAGTCGGACGCACTGGCGTGGCGTTGAGAAGTGAATCGCAAACAAGAAGATAGCGTTGGAAATGGCCAAGGAATACCAGGCCACTGAGAAATATCGGAGAGCAAAGAAGCACAATAAAAGCCGCTGTGGTCGAGAAAGAGGTACAGTCTCAGAAACAGGCCAAACGGTTACGCTAGGTGATGATCGGCCTGCGACAGGGCAGTGACCGAGGACTCGGACGGCGATGCCACGGGTGTTACGAGGTCTCTGTTTGACGTCGGGAGTCGTGTGTGGCTATATTTGGAACAAGTACAGCCAGGGCTGACGAAAAACCTTGCACGTCGATGGCATGGACCGTTCAGGGTCAAGAGGAAAGAGGAGCAGTTTGCCTACAAGCTCGAACTCCCCGCCCGAAGTGGATACAGATTTTACCCGGTAGTGTATGTGTCACGTTTAAAGATGGTAGACGAATTTGGAGATCGACCGAGTGCTCGTTTGACACAGGACGTGAACGAGACTTCAGGGTTAGATTTTGATGAGGAATTGCTCCCAGAAGATAGTTGGGAACCAGATCATGTCGCGCGTGAATTCGAAGTTGAAGCAATACTGGATGATAGGATCCCTCTGTCCACTAGCACAGAACGAGCCGTCAGAGAGTTCAAGGTGAAGTGGGTCGGCTATGATGACTCGACTTGGGAACCTGCATCCCATCTCTCGTGCGATGGTCTATTATACGACTATATCTGAGAGAAACGTCGTGACCGAAGGTTACAAATGGTCCAGGTCGCTGACGAGGATTAATGCGACTGACAAATGATCTGTCTGTGGGTTTAACTGCAGACCACAACAACAGACGAAAGAAGTTACTGCACCAGAATGCATATTACCTATTTGTATATGATGTGAACGAGTTTTCGAAGTGAAGCTATGGAGATCTGGAGAATGGAGATTACGAGACTACTTGGAATTACCACTAGATTAATACTTGAGAACTGAACTGAACTACGCAGGATGATAACAAGAAAGAGGAACTACTCCGACGCCAAGCGCTCCCTCGTTTCGATTTGAACTAGCATCTCGAATGGAGCGAGCACTATGTCGGATGGAGGATCCTCTGCATCACGAACAGGAGTCTCAAGACCAGTCGGGGTGGCTGAATTCTCGGCTACCACAGCACCAAGACCGGTTCGACAGGGGCAAACGAGAACGAGTCCTCGTTAAAAGCCTCAGCCGTCTCAACGGCGCTTGGCGCTGCAGTTTCAGCACCAACGAGCCCTCATTAATAGCTCCAGTGGGGGAATGTTTGGCAACCCTGACGATAGCAGAGGCTTCGTCGATCCATAGAGTCACGAGATCAGCGTCGGTTAGAGACTGGTCCACGACGATGCTAGAGATGACAGCTTGTCGAGACATCGTAAATGGCACGAAAACCGAAGCCTCGGGATTGCAAGGGGCGTACGCTGTGTTGTACGGATGCTCTGCAGGACCGTCGATCCAGCAGTTTCTACAAAGCTGCTCGGCGTGCAGCACTAGTAATTTGCGAGACCAATCCTCGGTGGCAGGAGTCCACTCCAACACCTCCATCTAATACTGGAGATAACTTGGTTCCAGCAAAATCTCGGTGGGGAGAGTGTCAGTGCCACCGTTGGTCTTTGCACACCACTCCCACAGCCGATCAAACTGCTGTCGGAGGAGGTCAGCACGGTTATTCCTTGTCCGATTAAGATCGGTCCACCAATCGAGGACGACCCGGGTGAACGGATCGAGAGAGTCACTGGTCTCACGGAACACGTGAATCGCATTGTCCATGGACGAAATTTGAAGCCAGTGACGACGTTCCCACAGTGGGACACGGAGGTCAATCATTTCATTGTCCTCATACAAGTGGCCGGAAAATCGGCGCTACATGCGTGTGAGATCACCGAGCCCTGACGCGCGTATAGAGATCCGCACCTCCTTGACAAACTTCCCCAACGAAAACGTCAAAATCTCGTCGGGCATTCGGTCAAACAGCACCCACCAAGGATGTCTCGAGCTCTTGACGTTGTACATGAGAGCGAGAAAGGCGAAACCGAGGGGAGGCGAGTGCTCTTTCGAGGCAGGTATAGAGAGGCTGGCGTTCAGGATCTTGCACCAGGCCTTCTGTGCGCCGACATCCACAAAACCGGGCTTCAGGAAGCGTTCTGCGTTCGCGGAAGGCTTCCGCGAGTTGGCAGCCCGCGAGGTCTCAGCCACCGCTGGATAGAAAGTGGTGGTGTGTGTGCCGCGTTGAGCGGTCACAGTGGCTGTAATGACCCGAGTTGGGCGCCGAGGACGGGGGTCGCTCTGAGTAGTACGACCACGTCCGCGACGAGAACGAGCTTACGACCTGACAGAGATCTCGGCAGACCGTTGAGGCCGCGTCTCCAACTGCACCGAAGTCGCAGTGGGCTCGACCGAGCTTTCACGGTCAGTTCCAGGAGAGGCAGGTTAGGCCGAAGAGGGTTCGTCGCGAGTATTACTTCCACCCATAACCACAGTCGTGGGCACTGACTCCCCATCCTCTGACTTTTGGGGTACCGGAGTAACAGAGGACTCGGTATCCTGTCGGCTCTCATCAGGACGCGCTCCCGACCCCTTGACGAGGACGTAGCCAAATCCACGTCAACCTCGTTCAGCAGCAGAGAAATAGGGATGGCCGAAAAGGGTCGCGAAGGTGACAGTGGGGGATCTTGAGTAGTGGGTAGCGGAGTTGAAATGGTAGGCGAACTCGACTCTGTCGCACCGCCACTGGGCGTCTCTATAGAGGAGTCGTCGGGAGACACCTATGCCTCCATCGAGGAGTCTACAGTCGGAAGCTCCGCAGTAACAGGTCCCTCAACAGAGAGCTCGGTACCACTAGCGGATGCGTTAGCCACTCGCGCTGTACTACGCGAGGTATTTTAACCTTCCGCGACTGATCATTCGCTGAAGGGACCAAGCATGAAATCATCGCCGGCCAGCTCTCGTTCGAGACTCCCACGCATCCTCAATTCCGACGCAACGGAAGTACTTCGACGAGGACGGTCATCCTTGCGAGGGAAGTAGGAGACCACAGGTGATAAGAACGGGCTTGAATTTTTTTTCTGCGAAGAGACAGTAACGTCGTCAGACGTGAGGTCCAGAACCTCTACCGTCGACCTGGATGGAACAGTGTCGGCGGCCACAAGCTGGTTCAGTCCTGGGCTAGTTTTGGCCTGGACGCCCGAAATAGATGGCGACCGAGGACTTGCGTCACCGACAGGAGTCTCAGGGGCGTGCATCACGGAGTCGTCACATCCCGAGTCGGCATCACGGAGATGATCAGCGAGGTCGGACCGAGCGTCGCCACGTCGGAGACGACTTAAGGACGGGCCGGAAGGTGACTGGCCGACGCCATCACGACCGGATGGCCGTAAACCGCGGAGAGTACTGGCGCCATGACGTCCCGGAGAATCCGCACCGACGGACACGTCATCTTGGACACCGGAGAGATCGAGCTCCGAGGGAAGGTCGTTGGAGCGAGGAGACTCGTGCCGAGGCTTGGAGCGTGGAAGAGGCGAGGCGTCACCAGGATCTTGAACGGAACGACGTTTGCGGCTGGCTCCAGCCCGGGGGCGATCATTCACGGAAGACTAGGAACATCAGCCGCGGCAAGAGTGACCGGAGCAGGCTGCACCAAGGATATTAAACCTGCGACTTGAGACCGCAGGGCGAGCAGATCGGCAGAAGCTTGGTCGCGTTTTTCCTCAGCAACATGACAGGCCGTCTCGGCCTCCAAGACACGGAGGCTTAACGCACCGTTCTCGCGGGAGATCTCCTCCACCTTCTGCTGAAGGACGCCAACTTGAACTTGGAGAGTTTAGAACTCCTCTTGATTCACGCGTGTCGCATCGGCGTCCTGCTCCAACCGAACGACGTCGCCGTTGAGAGAAGCCGCCCACAATTCTATGAGCAAAGGATCAAGATTAGCAAAGGCACAAAGGTGGACCAGTGTCAAACGTACCAAAAGTTTGAGAAAGAGCGACGGCTTTGTCTCGGGCAGTGGTGACCTCGTCCAGTTCGGAAGTGAGGCGACGGGTAGCAGCCTCAGCTACAGCAGCCGCGTCGCTGAACCGGTCCCGCTCTTCACACGCACGCTGGTGGCGAGCTAGCGCACGACGAAGCCGAGACTCCAACTTGCTCACGTGACGTTGAAGGTGGGCTTCAGTGTCCTCCAGCTTCTTCAGGTGAGCCTCACTTCTTCCTTCAACTTGACCCTGCGTGCTCTTTAGTCGTGGAAGGTGCTTGACTTCTCAGCCAGACGAACGTAGGGGTGCTGGGCTCTTTGCTCCGGCGGTAAGATTACTGGGAATGTGCTTCCAGTCTTCGACGGTGTCTCGTCGGCCTTCAATACGACCGAACCTCACACCTAGCGCTTGGTCTTGCCTTGGATGGACAGGAGTTCTTCAACCGAGTCCACCAACAGACATATATGCCACCTAAGTGACCTGGTCCTTTTGGACTTACGCAAAAGAAGTATTGATCTTTAAGCAGCAAATTCTGTTCTGTGTCCGCCCTAGTGGGCGTTAAGACTAGTCCTAACTCCTAATATATTATATACAAATATCATGTATAAATGCGACGAAGCTAACGACTCTCACCCGGCTAACGACGACTCGACCAATCACCCGACGATGACTCGCCTAAGTGCGGATCTCGACTACGGCTCATCTGGTGTGTCGTACACAGCTCTCGATATAGTGACTTGGGTGGTTGAAGGTCCTTTTAGATGGACCTACGAGCGTTGGTCACGAGTCGTAGTCCGGTAAAGTCCGGTTGTGTGGGCTATTGTCTGTTGACTGAGAACTTCCAACGGCGGCTACCATAGGTCCGTCCCATTCACCAACTCAGCATTCGCGACGGCAAGTCGCTTTTGCAAGAAACCCGACACCACAACTGCCTCCGCAGCAATACGAGCCACCACTCTGGTAATTGTCATTGCGCTCATGTCGTCTTCCGAATCCAAGACCGTGTCTCAATCGACCGCGACATCGCCAGTTCCAGCTGCA